AACTAAAAGTGCCTCCTCCTTCACTATCAATGGGAAGCAAAACACATACACTTTTACAGCGAATCAAGACACTCTGTTCTGAGACCCCACAAACACCAGACGTAGAGGAAGCAGAGGGCAGTGAAGGACTTCCTCTACAGAGTCCTAAATGATTTTCCCCCATTTACATTTCATATGTTGGTATGAAACTTTGAGAGAGAGTGGCGCTACCTTACTTTTAACTTTTGCTTTGGTCTTAACTCTTGACAAACACTGCAACAACAGGTCCTGCAGCTTATGACCGAGCTCTTTGGCATGAACAGGCTGTTTCGTGTGGATGTAAATACTTTTAAAATGAAGATATGTGTCTATGAAAACACCCGCCTACGTATACATGGCCTAAAGGTAAAAAGTTTTAGAATCAATGAATGGCTAGTAGAAATAGAATTCCTTTTAAAAAACACAAAATGTACTCGTTTCTGCGCTAAAAGACGGTCACGTATCTGATAAAAATCGCCTTTACGTCAGTGCAGATACTGTATGAACGTGTACATACAAGAAGGAGAGGCCCTCGTTCGTAACCTATTGACACGCAACATTCTCCTGCACAAAGCATCAATCTTTGGGAAAACATTTGCAGACATGTTCACAAAACAGCTGAATTCGCCTCGAGCACTTTCTGGCCTTTTCTGTCGTAAATTACCTCACTTCTTGATTAAACAAAACGTCAACATGTCTAAGCTCTTTAGTTGCCCACCATTCTCACACACACACACACACATGCCCTCAACGCAAGATCGCAATTACTTATTGGTTTGCTGGTTAATAATTTGACTTTGCAGGGGGGGAATTAAATGCTTGACTAGTCTGACTTTTCAGCATCCACAACTTTATCCCTCCCTCTTCTCTGTGTCTCGGCACCTTATACCTGCTGCCCTTCACTCTGCATAGTAATGTCTTTGAATTGAGTTGTTCATTCAGCCAAGCCTAGATAAGGGCAGAATAGAATAGTGGAGAGAGCACAATAGAGAAATAAAAAGTGCTCCATACTTTGCAGGAGAGGCTAGACTTTTTAAGACCGATAATTATTTTGTTCCTTTACATTTCGCGTTTTGGCAAGGGCAAGGAAGGGCAGGAGTTTATTGTTATTTTATTTGAATCTATTAAATGCTACTGTGAAATCGGCTTAAGGGGATAACAGCGTTGGTGCAAAAAGGCTCTGTGGTGAGGAGTGATTGTGTGCATGTACAGTGTATAATTGGGGGATGATTGGTGCTTTCTTGTGTATTTATTAAAGTTTTATATGGCAACATGATTTTAAGATTTTTCTGGATAATTTCCAAAATGTGTGCAAGCCAAATTATAGGTCAGACCTGTGGTGAGGTGTGCATGTGTTTTTTTTCCAACATCCATGAAAGACAAGGTGCAAATACCTTGTGATTCCAAACGTGAGATAAAAAATTTAAATATGTTTAAAGCAACATTGTACTTCTTTTTGATGAGATGCCAATTTTGTATGAACTAAAATACAGTAGTGTCAGGGATTCAACCATATCATTTATTATATTCTAAGTGTTGAACCCAGATTGGTCTGCAATTACAAACCTCTTATTTTTGGTCTAGTTTTGGTTCAGTCCAATCCTGTACGTACTCATGCTATTTATAAATAATATATATACATACCAAACAGTGGGGGTTGGTCCCAGCGCAAAAGTGGCCAAAATGACGTGCGCTGACATGCTAGCAATAGCACCCCGGGCCGATGGAGTGGACCCGGAATAAGAATTATTCAATGCTAACATACAGCATCTTCTTACCTCTCAAAAATGTCTTTACAGGATGGCTCTTTGCCCGATGCTCCGTTCCACATGTCTGTCAATGATGAGGGGAGTGATTTTTTTTTTTTGGACCAGTCTAGTTTTGTTGCTGTGAATTTTTGAAGGCACTCGTTAAATGAATGGGGCTCGTGCCGGCTGACTAGGGTTGCCAACTTGAGAACAAAAAAATAAGGGACACTATTTGGGTGGATCGGGTTGAGCACTTTTTAGTCCTAATTTCAGTCTACACAGTAATCATGGAATTTCATAATCAGTTTTTAGATTGTAATTTATTGACTACATACTGTATTATAAAAAACAAATCCTTAGTCAAAAATGAAATGGAATAAATAGGTGGAACTCTTTGGCTGGTTAAGGACTTAATGCATTCTCAATAGTAATAAAAAAATCTAAAAAAGACAAATATTGTAACAAACATTATTTACGAATGTTACAGTAAAGACCAATTCCTGTAAAAGCAAATAAAAAAAGAAAAACATTCATTAAAAAAAGTCTGTAGCAGCTCGATATGGTCATTATTTATATTGTCTGAGTTTTGTACAGGTACTGCAGGTTTGTGGCTTCAGTAAAAGCTATTGTTCGTTTACAAAGCTGGTCTGGATATTTGTTGACGGTCCCTAAGCGCTTTTCTCTGCGTTTGCAGTGCATTGGATTCAGAGGATTTCTCTGCATTAAAACAGCGCATTGAATTTGTAAAATCAATGTAGAGCTGATCATTTTAGCACAATTACTTTTGTTTAACAAAGTAGCTTTCGTGAGCTATTGACCGTGGAAGTCCGAATCTGGAAAATGACGCCACTTTACCAAACTTCTGCCATGATGGTGCTGCGGGCACGGCCCACAATGGCGATTGTCAACATTAAACCAATGTATGTGATCAAGCCTACGCCCCTTTGACACTGATTGGCCGAAAGGTAGATGCTTAAACTGTGATCATTACTGTGTGTGCGTGTGTCACGCCTGTGACATGCAGTGAGTGAGTGATGCATTTAAGGTGGCTCTGAAAATACGGGACAAAAGCCGTCCCGTATCAGTTCAATACAGGACGCACAAAGTTTTTCTCTAATACGGGACATTTCCGTATTTCAAGGGACGGTTGGCAACCCTACGGCTGATGCATGCGCAGATGTGTTTTTTTCAAATTGTCCAGCCCCCGCGGCCATTTTGAAACTACCCATAGACCACATAAGTTGTGGCACATTAGTTAGAACGGCAGAGATAGGTGTGACTACGTCCGTTAATATTTACAGTCTATGGTACCGAACCAAAACTGGACCAAAAATAAGAAAGGCTTGCAATCTGAGTTCAACGTTTGGAATATAATAAATCTTCAAACTAATAAACTGTTTTAATGTACACAAACTTTACTTATTTGTGATGAGATGACAATAGCATGAAATATATATAAAGTTGTTATCCTATATGTTTTTTCATCAATGATTCAGGCACAAACGTGTATTTAATATGAATGAACGTGGCAAGAAATGTGATCTGACAAACGGATTCTTTTCCACAATGTGTTTTTGCTGTTGCCTTACTTCTGTGAGCGAACACAGACATGAATTGTTGAACTTACCCTTGGGCCCGTCGCTTAACCCAGTTCTCCGGGGCCGATGCACCTGCTGAGAAGAGAGCCTGTGTTTTAAGTCCACTCGCAAACTCCCCGGAGAGGCGCGCAGCAGTCTGCGTTTGAAGCGGCGAGCTAATACAGACAACAGCGTGTGTTTGTGCGCGCCGTTAACCTTCTCTGGACAAATAAAGATTAAAAATGAAAGTGGAGACAGAGACGATGAAGCCCCGCTCACCTCCTGTCCTCTTCAGTGGGAGTTTAGTAGCTTAGAGGTTGCTGTGAACTCTTGACCATCTTCCTTTTTGCAGATAGCAACACTTCAGGGGTACCTACTCGGGTCAGCAAGGAGTCAACTCAAAGCATACTGTCTGCAAATATATTTTTCATGCTTTTTTTCTTGGCTCCACAATCGTGCTGCCCGGCCCACATCCTGTCTTATCTCCAACAGCACATGGCCAGGTCTGCAGTCGCACTCTTGCTCTGGTCTATTTACCTGCTACTGACAATTATTCCCCCTAATGAGTTGAGCCAGAGCATGTTTAGAGGAGAAGAAGCAAGAGTAAAAGTGTTTTGTGTATTTTCTTCAAACGTGCTAAAAGCAGATTATTGACTATATTCGGAGGTGATGTGCAGATTGTGCTGGGTCGAGTGAAGTGGGACTGAACTGTGAGAAATCCAAAACAAAAGAAACGTTTTACCAGTTTGATCCCAGTTTGTGGTCAACTCTGAGCTCAGCAATACATCCTGTAGAAAAAAACACTTTTAAAAGACAGAGCCTCAACATATGTGATTAAAGCTGTACCTAACTTTTATTTATCATTAATATTTTTAGTTTGTCCAACAGAAAGAGCCCACAACAAACTGCCTTAATCTTGTTATAAAAACCTGTTATCTTTTGCATACTTGTAAGAACGAGCCTTGTGAGTCACTATTTGACTTTTTGGGTTGAGATCTGATTGGCTGAGAGCTGATTGGCTGAGATCTGATTGGCTGAGAGCTGGATGTGGGTGATCCTTGCTTTATCACTTTTGTCTGATGACGCCGATCTTAAGATGTGACAGAGGCCAAATCAATACCCCAGTCTCAATATGTAGCAACAAGACCTGCCAGATAATGTAAAATCTTAAACAAATATATTCTATTCTGTTACATGCTGCAAAAAAACATCCATTAAAAGCAGTTTGATAAAAGGCGACAAGCTTCATGCTTTTGAAATGTATGCTAATATGAAACAAGAGTCATCCATCCCCTGTTTTGGTGCATGCAGATAAATAAGTGTTTTCCTACAGGCTAAGATTAGCCACCAGCTGGAGGTTTTAAGATGGTAAACTGTAGAAAGGACTGTTGTAAATCATAAATTACATCGAAATGTGTGGATTTATGAACTACAGGCAAACCTGGCATTGTTTTCCACAAGTTAGACACAATGTATTTTCCTCTACAAGCTCCCTGCAGCGTTGTATCATGAAAGCTGTTAATTATTATGTATGTGTTGCGAGTGTACGGCTTAAGGGCGAGATGTTACAAGAGAAACAAATGGTTTTGAAAGCCTCACTGCCAGAACAATGCTTTGATGTCTAATATTTCATTCTTGTTTGGTTTTGGTTTCGCAGGCCTTCTCCGGGAACTCCAACTCGGAGAGCTCCGTCCGGCACGACCTGCAGCAGGGGATAGTGGCCCGTTTCCTCAGGATCATCCCACTCGACTGGAGCGAGGAGGGAAGGATCGGACTGCGGGTCGAAGTCTACGGCTGCTCCTACTGTGAGTGCGCACGCAGTCGTGATGTGTCGTATTCAACAATATTCACGCATTCATTACAAACAGTGTGTTCTCTTCCTGTTTGGGCAGTTTAACAAAAAGGTGTCAATTATGCCCAAATTAAGATGTGTTTGCAGGTTGGATGTACAAAGAGGTGTTAATTGAGCCCTGAGCTTCTGCTATTCGGAGTGTGTCTTTTTAGGGGTGTGACAATTCAGAATTTTGTGTAAAATATACAAACCTTTTTATGTTTGTCTTTTTAGTGCCCAGAAATCTTCACTTGTTTCAACTAGGATTGTGGGATGTAAACTCAGACAGTTACTCTCAAGTGATAGTTTGCCCAATTAATATTGTAATCTTAATTGAGTGATTTCTGACTTTATATTTGACGCTCTCTTTTATCCTACATATTGAGACTCTTCTATCCATCTTCCTTGTATTTCTCTCTGCATTGAAAGGGGAAACCATTAAACATACTTGGGATCACTATATTTATACTGTATCTTGAAACGAGAGATGTTTGAGGTGAGTGAAAAGAAAACAAAGCTATCAAACCCAGTGAAAGATATTAAAATGTATAATATAGTTGCATTTGCAGACACGACTGTGGACTGTTTTAGACAAAAGTAACTCTCTAGCAGCCCCTTTGCCCTCATCCTATTAAATACTGCCAAATTGATTTTGATAACAATTTTCAATTAAGGCTCTGCATAAATTACTGTTGTAAGTGACACACGTACATATTTCATTTAGCAGATGCGATTACCCTGCGCGTCGAAAGGTCTAGTGTGTGTGTGTGCGAAGACAAGGGCGTAGGCAGTATTCCAGTCAGCTTTCACGGCTTTGATTGTATTTTTCATTTCTTTGCGGTGGTCAAAGAACAAGGTGTCAGCAGTAACGACGCGTCTGACGAAGGCAGTGTGCAATCACAGAGGCCTTTACCTCCACTCTCACATCTGAATGAAAGGAAGCATGTGTTTCACAACGGCCCAAAAGCATGAATATCACTGTACGCATGGCGCCCGCAAGATTATGTGTGATAGATGAGCGGGCCATGTGGAAAGTAAAGGAGAAGGACATCTCAGCCTTCCGCTGCCCTACTGGGCGGCACGGTGGCTGAGTGGGTAGCACTCTCGCCTCTCAGCAAGAAGGTCCTGGGTTCGAATCCCGGCCGGACCAGGGCCTTTCTGAGTGGAGTTTGCATGTTCTCCCCGTGTCTGCGTAGGTTTCCTCCGGGTACTCCGGTTTCCCCTGCCACTAAAAATATGTACAATAGGTCTGGCATGCGCCTCCTGTTCGGCAACCCTGCTCCCATCTCTGTGTGGAGTGAGAGGACAAGTGCCCAAAAATAACAATTGTAAACCGCTTTGTGACTCTGGTCTGTGAAAGGCGGTATATAAATAAAACTTACTTACTTACTTACCTTCAATGCAGTTTAATGCCAGTTTAATTTCTAACTAAATTAACCATCCATTTTCTTCCCCTTCATCCATTTCTGGGTCAGGGGGGTGGCAGTCAGAGCTGCACCCAGTCACAGAGCACCAGCCCCTCACTGATCCTCCTGCAGGTGGTGAGTCCACAGGAGCTGAGATCTTTCAGTTGGGGCTTTGGGCAAAGTGGGGTTGAGTGTCTTGCCCAAGGACACAAAGACAGCAGTCATCAGTGGGAGTTGTGAAGTAGGTCTTACGGTGGGCTCGAACCCACGACCTTCAGGCCCAAAGGCCAATGCTCTACCAACTGAGCTACTGTCGCCAACTAAATCAACGGTCAACTAAATTAACCGTTTAATGATTTTCTCAACTTTTTTCACTTTTCGAGTCTCTTTATCTAATTTAAATATGCTTGGAACTGAAATCTACCTCTTTGGGGCATCTCACTTGGTTTTTAGGCACTTTTACAATCAAACTGTATCTCAACCATTTGGTAAAGGCCTATAAAAAAAAACTAAACAAAACTAGGGGTTAAAAAAAATGCTTCTACATCTTGAAATGACATTGCTTTCCTTAGGGAGTGAACTTTAAGGGTTAATACATTTGAATGCAAATCTTTACTATCTGCCAGATTAAAAAAGTCACAAAATAAAAGAAAGTGGATGGACCTTTTTAATCGTAACACAAACAGTTTTTCTCGCCTCAAAAATTCCAACTGCATCTGTCTGAGTAGTCTTTGGTGCACAAACAAATGAACTCTTTTGAAGCTGAAGACCTATCGTGGTTGCATCTGATGACTCCATCGCTCAAGTTATAAGTGGCAACAATCCCTGCACAGAGAAAGATCCAAAGTCCATGTACATTTGGGAAATATCGAGGAAGGAATCGCTGGTGTCTGGGGATAGGATCTGACTGTTGAATGAGGAAGTTTGGGATCTTAACAATTCTCTTTTCACAGCTGAGGAAAATGTCACTGGAAATGAGATTTGGAGGGGTGTAATAAAGCAGAAAGCTGCAGGTGGAATACATACAAAACCTCTATTCACTTTTCTGCTATTTTTCGACTATATTACTTGTGAGTTTGGAGTTCAAACTGACCCAGGTTCATCTCAGATTTTTTCATTTGACTCTAAATAACACAGATATATTTTTATTGTAATCTCTCACATTTCTAGTAGTTGTATTTTATCCATTTGCTGTCAAAAATAACCTCTGGTCAGGTTAGTGCAAAGGTGGCACTAACCGTGTGTAAGAAAAAAAAGTTTATTGTTATACAATCTGTGGAATTTATGATCTACAATCTGTGAGCCAACCAAGTGAGAAAAAATCCACCACTTTTACATGAATAAAGTGAAATATGTCAGTTATTGGACTATATCTGAACAAGTATAAATATGTTTTCTTTTTGATTCCATTCAGTGAAACATTAACAGATGATTTAGTCGCTGACATATAATTTACAATACATCTGAGAAATACCACATTAAATAAATATACAATCATTTGAGAAAGGTTATGAACCACTAAGCTACCGTGGCAGCTGTCACCTCTCAGAAAAACGGTCCAGGCTTTGATTCCCGTTCACAACAGGGCCGTTTTGCAAAGAGTTCGCATGTTCTCCTCGTGACGGCGTACTAAAAATATGCAAAATGGGACTACGGATAAAAATGTATCATTCCGGTGAACTGTGAGCCATAAATTTCACCATAACAAACAAAAGCTTAATATATCTGGCTTTGTGTGTAGTAAATCATATATTAGTTTTTTTTTTTACAATTTTAGTTTGAAATACTGAAAAAAAAGTTTTGAACAATATTCTTATTTTCTGAGTTTTTTTTTATAAATTTATAGCCTTTCATTAATACACACTGTCCCACTAAAATCACAATCAAAACGTGACAGCATATATATATAAGTGTTAGTCTAGGCTGTTGTGATTTTTAGTTTTTACTCCATAAGATTATTTATGTTTTTGTACAATCAGATTTACCAAATAAGAAAAAAAATACTGTATTTGAATGGTCACAGCTTCTGGAATGAACTCAGTAACTTCAAGTGTGATGAGAAACATGATGTTTGGATGGAGGAACAGAAACACAAGTAGGAACAGGGTAAAAAACTTTATGGGGGAGGGGTCAGTCGGGGTAGATCTGTTCCTCCGGAGTTTGTGGCAGCTTCATGTTCTCCGTCTGAGCTCCTGTACAACCATCAAAACACTTTTAGAGTTCTGCCACTTTGTCAAAGTGGTGTCTCACAAACTGATAAGACTCTGGTCATGATCTGAGGAATATATGATCTTCTCCCCTGATTGCACTGTCCTGTACTTTCAGTGTCAGATTCAGACTCAGAGTGTATTTGCCATTTGCAGTAAAACCACATTGGAATACATTTTCAAGAGTCCCCAGTGTGCACCAAACAAGTACATGAGAAAAACTAGGTTAAAACATGTCATGGTTCATTATGCTATCCCAGGCTTCTCTCCCATGTGAAAATCCAGTCTTTCAAAATGCTTTCAGCTTCCAAACATCAGGATTTGAGGGAGGAGATAGACACTGTTATTGCTGTTTTATTGTAAAATCAAGAGAGAGATTCTTTTTAAGAGAATTGACTTCTTTCCTCAAAATCAAGGAGCCACCTCAGGAAGAGCAATAACTTTCAGGTACATGATTTCTTTCAGATCAGTTTCGTATGGCTCCTAAACCCTTCTATCTTTACTTTCTGTAATGTCAGCATAATGAGCCCATTCTGATTTGCAAATGAATATTCAAGCTATTTTAATATATGCTTAAAAAGGCCCCAGAATATATGACTCACCAGCGCCTACAGAGCTTCAAATAATGTTCTGAACAAGTGCCAAAGCAGAAAGAACTAAAAGGAATATGTATCTTTCTTAGCTTCAAATTCATGCTGGTATCATTGTATTTATTTAAACTTGTTGCCATGTGTTGAGCGGATATTTACTTGGTCACAGGTCATACAGTCTGATTAGCCGAGCAGCAGGGGGCACGGGTTGTGGCTCAAGACCTATGAGTAATATGTAATTAAGTATGAGTATTAAGTATAATCATAACATACAGAATGATCATACTTAGAGCCACTCTGCTGCTTTAGGGGTTTTCTTTACGTAGTACACAGAGATGAGCAGGGTAATTTACTTCTTCATTCATTTTTGTGTGACCTCATGGGATTATTTAACCATATTTACTCTGCAACGTTTAGTTTGGCTCGGTCCGAGGATGTGAAGAGTCTAAATGCTTCTAAACATTTACATTTAGGTGTGAAATTCATCATAATATGTTGTTATAAAAGAGATAATTAGGAATCTATGGAAATCACTTAATGTTTGCAGGTGTAATCGATGAGTTGAAATGAGACGAGATGGAGACACTTACAACTAAAAATATGTTGTGTAACTTTCTCAATACATGTCTTATTATGCAGGATGAGAGGCGTGGGGTTGTGGGGTGGCGTGACAGTGCATAAGTCTGTATATGAAGAGTTCACTTATTCAGTGACAGCAGAGGGATCCACACATGCCCATTTCACTCAGAGAGGTGCACCTCGAATGCACTACACTTTTCAATTCTCCTTCACAATGATCTCTATATTCTTCCCTGCCCTCTATACTAAGGCCTTTTTAAAAGTGTCTCGCTGATGAAAATAAGTTTTTGCGACCAAGTGATGGAAAACATACTGGAAAAAGTGTAAAATGTGCTGTTTTTGCGCTGACTATGGTTGAAACATGGGATATAGGCTCAGTGCATGAGATTCTTGGATTAGTTTCAGTCATAGATTATAGAAAGAAGTGGACAAGTGCTGACGTCCACATCAAACACCTACAGTTTAGATATGAATTATCCTGCTAAAATAAGCTGATCAGAGGTAACTAAAACAGGCTCCATGGGCTGGGATTGAGAGCAAAGTCTCTGGCAAAAGTACCTGGCAACCAAAGAGCCAATCAGCAGCTATCCTGGTCCGTTCACTTTGGAGATCATGTTTACCCAAAGCCGAAGTGAGGGTTATGAGGCAACTGATTGTAAATTAAGATATTAACCCTAATAATGAACTGACAAAGACATGATCAAAGCCGTTATCAAAGGGTGAGAGTGACCCAAGTGGTTATGGAGTAAGAGGTGTTTTTTTAAGAGGTGTTTTCGCTAAGGGGTCTCTGAAGCGAATAGAAGCAAAACTAATGGACAGTTTGCTAGTTTTATCAATTGCGGGTTAGCAACGTCCATATACCGTCTACCGTTGTAGAAATTTCTATCTCTGTCAGCCCTCAGATTTGCCAGTTGAACAAAACATGCAAATATGTGTACAAATTCACATAAACTATTTTTGGAACAGCTGTGATGTCTTTGGATGTTGTATATTTTATAAGATTTCAAGAGTTAAAGCGCTAGCATTTTTGATGGTGCTAATAAATTCACAGGTGTTTTTCACTGCGAACATCAGACTCACAACATGGCTTCAACACTGATAATGAAATACATCTGCTGGGTGATATAAAACACAGCCACACACATCGAACAGATTTAATGTGTTTAAATGCCAACTGCTTGTGAATGTTGAAAGAAAGAATTAAAGGTGAAAATGACTAAATGACTAAAATCTATTTGTATCCCTTGATTTTGTTGTTTTATTCCTTGTTTTTCATGTGTGTTTCCTCAGGGTCGGATGTGATCAATTTTGATGGACAAGGTGTCATCTCCTATCGATTTAAGGTATACATTTTCAACAGTAGAATAATACTTCATTACTTAACTACATATATACTGTACATGTTATATTTTCCACATTTTCTGACCTGGTAACTGTTTAAAGAATACATTCCTCTCCCATATAATGTAAATATCTGAGCTGATGCAATTAAATCAATCAATTCAATCATCAGTATCTGTGTTGGTGGATCTGATTATCTGATTTGCTCTAGTAGAAAGCACATATGCAAAGTTCAAATGGTCCATATTTGATACATACATGAATTACATACAAAGTGACTATAATCCAAGGGGAAAACAAATTCAAGGAAACAAAGATAATAAGCAGAAGAAACTAATTTGAGGTAATTAAAAGTGTATTAGGCACAGAGGCAGAAATGATCCTAATTCCCCAGTTTGTCACATCCTATTTCCTGATGAAGGGCAAAGCCGGTTGTTGTGTGAAAGAAGGCAGCCCTGTTACTCCTCTGTCTGCGCAGGTGAAGAAGATGAAGATCATTAAAGACGTAATTGCTCTGAAATTCAAGACTTCAGAGAGCGAGGGTGTAATTCTCCACGGGGAGGGCCAGCAGGGAGACTACATCACCCTGGAGCTGCGCAAGGCCAAGCTTCTACTGCAGATAAATTTGGGTAGGCAGAAATACATGTTATCTTTAGACAATATAAAACAGCACATCCCCTCTGCCTGGTGGCTCTGACAGATACTTAGTCCGAGGCAGACTTCTACAGTACACTGGCGCCGGTCACAGAATCTTAATAAAGAGAGCAGAGAAAGCAGCTTCTTTACTGCCCACACAGCAGAAACACCAAAGTAATGCAAAAGTCTATAGCGGGATCACCGTGTCACTGAAAGTCTACTAATGAGACTATATTTGCACTTTAATTATTCATTGAGTAATTACTATTAACTTATATATTCAGGTAAATGGGTGAATAATGGGTCTATACTTAAAAATGTACACGATATTTATTATAGTATGACATTTGTTGTATAACTTATTACAATATATTGAATTAACATGGGGAGAAAGGGTGGGATTTCATAAGCCCGGCAACTTCCTACTCCTTTTTAATATGAATAATTTGTTTTTGTCTTTTCTTTTTTTTGTCTTGTATGTTATTATTGTTTGTGTTTTTGTTCTTTGTCTCTTGTTTTTTTTCCATGTTCAAATAAACTTTTATTCATTCATTCACCCAGCTAGAGAAGTTACTGATTTGGCCATATTTTGGAGTTATGAAGGATTTTGCAAATACTTGTTACTCGCTCATTGTTAGCGGTTGTGTGAAGCCATTTATTTTCAAATTCTGAAATAACTGAGCCGCTTTTGGGAGATCATAGATTCAGGAGAAGTTCAGGCAATGCAGCCCAGGAATGTACAGGAACTGGAGGCTGATGAGCAGAATGGTCAGCTTTACCATCAGAAAGGTTGAAGAGACTCGACCGCTACTACCACAAACAACTCCAATCTGTCATAGATTTATTTTATTTATTTATTGTGGATGGCCCCTTGAGATGAATCATCTCTTTTTCGAGGGGGTCCGGTTATAAAAAAAATTACATACATGACCACAAAGACAGACAAGACAATAAGCACATACCGTACATAAAGACAGAAAGTACAAAAAAAAAAATAATAATAATAATAATAATAATAATAACGATAATAAAAACAATTTAAAAAAAACAACAACAAAAAAACAGATTTTGCTCTTCCACACCATGCCCATCTCAAAGCCTTGTCCACATCCACTCCTTCAGTAACTTTGGGTACAATTACTTTTATTTATTAATGCCTTGAACCCTACTTACTCACATGCCGACTTAAGGTGTGTAACTAAAGCAGTTTTAACACTGGTAAGTGAGGAAATAATTTTTATTGAAAAAACTGTTAAAGGGGAAGTACAAGGAGAAGTGGGTGATGCAAATTTCTTGTCGATGTTGTGATCATGTTTAAAAGACAATGAATAGCTGCACACCATACTAAAAAAAGAGTAAAAAATATTCCAAATAAATAAACCAATCACTAGGTTTGCCTGGGTGTGTAAACTTTCACACACTTGCACACCTGTATCTGAAATGGGGCAATAAGAAAAGTCTCAGCCGTGCTTGGAGCCATAACTTGATAATTAGAAGCTGCTGGTTTCAGTCTTTGAGGTGATATTTGCAAGTGTGTATTGTTACTATTGATTTCTCCTTTACTTCTCCCCCAAAGACATGAACAATAGTCTTTACCTAATGTATTAACTTCTGCCTAAAATTCTAATTATTCTTCCGTTGTCATTGTCACATAAGATTTGCATACTGTATTATATTTTCTTCTTTTTGGGCTTGTGTGGTTTTCGGTTTTTTTTCCCCCCCCCCAAACGGTTTTCTTAATTTCTGTGTTTATTTACAGCTAAAACATGTTCGCGTCCTTAAGCAGGTGCCATCCTGTCATAACTTAGACCAAACACGGAACCATCTGCTGTGAATTCACTTTAATGTTTTTATTTATTTATTTTCCTCTGTGGTGATTACAGGCAGTAACCAGTATGGCTCCATCCTGGGACACACCTCCGTCACCACAGGCAGTCTGCTGGATGACAATCACTGGCACGCCGTGGTGATCGAACGCTATCGAAGAAACGTCAACTTCACCCTGGACAGACACACGCAGCACTTTCGGACCAACGGGGAGTTTGACCACCTCGACTTGGATTACGAGGTACAAGAATACGTGCAGTATTTCAATGCGCTTTAATTTATCAAACCTTCGCTGCGGTTCAATTTTTGATTTTTTGATTTTTCTCTGCTAAACTTTGACTAATGTTTAAAGCTGGCGTGCCTAATTTTCAAACCACAAAAACATAGTCATGAAATTCAACAAACTCGTCACTAGCTCTCAAAACAGTTGGGTTCTATCACTTGCCTACTCATGCATGTATTTTGTGGCATCTTTTTCAGATAGAAAACTAAAAAACATAGGACCACCCTGTGAAGTCAAATAAAATGTGTTACAATGTAGAAAAACAGTTACCCAATCTTTAAATTGGGCCATGATATGTTTGGGAGAAAGAACTAAGCCTGGGACATGTAGATCTTCAAATCTTAAATCTCATTCTTACATAATGTTTGGCTTAAAATGCAGACACTAGATCAATCTAATATTTTTCAGTCCAAACGTCATGTATTATTTACGATTACCTGCTCTATTTTTAACATCTTCCTTTTTGAATTTGGCAGTGAATTAGGAGCATTAAATTGTCGTAGGTTTTCTTGGAATTCCCCGAAGGACCTCTGTACAGTTAACAACCACAACCAACACTGACGCATCAATTAGACACAGCAATCTTGATCACTGCTTTGGGCTCTCCGCCACTCCACACATTCCAAGGACGAGAAACCCAAAACAGAAACAGGAACCATGCATTTACAGTAAGTGTGTGGTTGAACTGAACATACATTCAGAAAGTTCATAATGTCTTCTTTATGTTTAAGGCGTGAGATGTTTGTCTTATGAGATAAAGAGTGTAAAGAAACTATGATTACTTAAAGGTGCTATACCCGTTTCTGCAAGGTTTTTTTCCTTTTGAATGTTTAGCACCGCCCCCCAACTCCTACGCATTTCTCCTACGCTCTCCCCCCACGAAGCTATCTAGTTTTATTTGCGATCTGATACGTGTGTAAACATTAGCATTAGCGCAACTTCTTCTGAGCTGTAAAACAATCACTGATGAAATGGTACAATAGCAACTCGCTGCTAACAGCTAACAAGCTTTAGTTCCCTCTTCTTTTCCTCACTGTTGCGTTGTTTGGGCTGTTTTGCTGTGTCAGCAGTTACAGCCAGAGGAGGTAGAGCCACTTTCTGCTAACAGGCTAGAGGACGCAGCCTGTTTGTAACCTGGGTCACGCTAAGTTTCTACTCAGCACTTTTTACGGCCTGAATTCATACACAAGCTGAATCAAAGCTCAAATGTTCAACTAAATTACGGATTTTGATACAACTTGTATGTAGTGATACGCATTTTTATGAACTCATCAGAAAATAAATCGGGTATAGCTTCTTTAATTACCTTACAGACTTCCAACTTTGTCAGTGACGACGTGATGCTATGACTTCCAGAGTGATTGATAATGTAGATGGATACAGTAGATGGATGGATGGATAGATAGATAGATGGATGTATGGATAGCTGGATGGATGGATATGTCAATGGATGGATGGATATATGGGTAGATGGAAGAATGGATAGATGCATAGATAGCTGGATGGATGGATGGTTGGATAGATAGATAGAGCAACTGTTTTCAGTGATGCTCCAACCACGGATCCAGCCACTTCGCTATCTTGTCCAGTTTGTTTTAGATCTGAAGAGAGCAGCCAGTGTGACAGATTGGGCAGATCTTTCAGACTGACCATGTCCCCTGTGAGCTGAAACAGAGGGACGTAAATACAATCAATGAGCTGTAGATTTCATGAAAAGAGACCATCAACAGAGACAAGAGAGTCCCCACCGTGGATACTTGGTCCGTCTGATTGATTTGCCTGAAACATGTAAAGTAATTAAGCAGTACTAGCCTCTTTTTGTCTGATTAGAAGAACACCTTAAGCCTTAAACTGAACATGCTGCCAGTACCACTTACATGGTTTGGCAGTGATGTCTCAACTCTTTTCACCGGAATAAGTCATTGTTGCTTTGGGTACACTGGGTTCCTCAGACGGTGCAAAGATGGGGCTCCTCTTAGCGAGTGGGGGATTCAATATCGCCTCAAGAAACTGAATGTGTCGACAACGAGATATGTTGAAAATGTACACAACTATTATTTGTACATCTTAAGCCTCTTCATATTTTCAATTTGCATCTGCACTTTGTTGCACTGTCGCATAACTTCTTTTCTCTTTACAGTACAATAATACCCGCAGGAAATTAGATATTGGCTTAACACGCTTCTGTAATGCTAATCCATGAGATACAATTAAAGTGTGTGAGTAATGGGAGAGAGCATGATCGGCTAATAATGCTTTTAAAAGGAAATTGATTTTTGGAATGTATAATTGTGTGAACGTGCGCTGGTCATTTGAGCCATATGTATTGATATTTGATATGTTCATATGTTGGCCTTAAGATTCTAGTATGGATGATTACGGTTTGCAAAGGGGAATGGGTACATGGCCAAATACGCTCCAATTAAAAAGAGGCTTAAGGATTCCGAGCATACTCCTATTGCACAAGGTTGACCGGAAGGTTGCGTTTTAAAGTGGAACAACCACTTCAGTGTTTTAAGGCATAGACTGTGCATTGTTGCCCCTATCGAGAATGAAAAGTGTCTACATTTGGGGGAAAAACAAACACATAAACTGTATGAACACAATACCTAACACTTTTACAGTTTACTAATCTATATTCATGCCAATTTGCTGCTTGAAAATATTCCAGTTAATGATCAGTTTTTAATCAATTAGTAGTTTAGACAACAAAAGATCGGTGAATGTGATTTTTTTTTAAATACTTTTGACCAAAACAAAGCACCAGTGATGCCCCTAGAAAACCTTTTAATATGACTTGTTGGCTTGATTAATTAAAAATACTTTATAAAACCATTTACATTTCATTCTGCGGTCATCATATAATTATCTGAGCCATAAAACCTCTACTCATCATGTCAATGGAATATCAATTGATTCCTAAATTAGTTGACAGCAAAATATACAATTCTACATGAGGCGTCAAAGATTTTCCTCTTTACCCATTCCACTGGCCTCTGAGTCTTGCAGTTGTAGGCATTTTATTTTTTTCCCATTTAGGTTCATAGACTGAATATCCAGAGCATTTGTTCTTCCCCACAAGCAGTAATTACTAAAACTACTGAAGCGTTGCAGCATTCGCGCACACACAGATAGGCAGACACGGATCTACTGGTAATTGCACAGCTCTCTCCATCAGCCAGGCCTTCCTCCGAGCCCCAGCCCCTATGTGAAAGTGAACACATGTAGTGACTGCAGACAAATATGCAACACATTTTACAGTTTCATTAGTTCTGTGTCCTTGAGTGCTTCTAACCAGATGTCTATTTATCAGCCTCTTCGCCTCCGTTCTCCTCTCATTGCTTCTATTTCAAGCATATTTATTTCTACAGGAATTGTGCAATAAATTCTAAGGATCTACGACCAATAAATGTTGTTTTCTTTTTAAAATATGTATGTATATATTTATAGGAGGTGATAATACTGTCAATTGAGCCACAATCCCAAGTTATGTCCTCATGCAGGATAGAAGGCTTTGATATAGTTTTATCTCAATCTTCCCTGTGAATATATGATCAGCTTTTTAAATCTTGCCATTCTGTGAGTTATTACTAAATGTGGTAGTTGCTGGTAAAGTCTTTCCACAGTCTCACTGATATAAATATACAATCACTATAGTCTTTGACTTTGCAATCGCAAACAGAATTCATTTGTTTATTCACCCAAGACAGTGGTAAACTAGATTATTTGTGTAGCGAAGTTCATACAAGCTGTAAATTGACGTTACAGCAAACAACTGCTTTTTGATGTTGTTTCAATTTCAATCATTAAGGTGATATTGTGCAGATATAAAATATGTAATTGTAACTACAATATTTGTGTTCTGTTCTTTGTCTGTCTCTAGTTGAGTTTTGGGGGGATGCCATACAGTGGAAAGCCAGTGGGAGGAGGCAGGAAGAACTTTAAAGGCTGCATGGAGAGCATCAACTACAACGGGGACAACATCACTGACCTGGCCCGCCGGAAGAAGCTCGACACCTCCAGCTTTGTGAGTGACTGAACCCATGATGTGTTCCATGACACACAGTTTAAGGGCCAGTGTACTTCTGTACTAATAAGCACTGTTTTATAAATAAAACCTTGAAACCTTTCTAAGAGCTACAGTAGAGATGATGAGAAATCTTTCGGTTGGAGGCCTTCTTATTATAAGAAAATGCAATGAGACAAAGTGACCGGTCTGAGCTGTTGAGAGCAAACCCTTCAAATATATCCACAATATATGGAACTGTAAGTGCACTAAAGACTTCAGCGTGAAACAGCTTAGCGCTATAGAAGCTAAAAGCTATGTTAGTTATAAAGTCGTGGTCAAAAGTGGGATAGCACAGTCAACAGTTGACCTCATGCAGCCAGACAAACAGCAGCACATGAATTAAATTTGTAAGAACAAGTGCAAAAAGGGACATGCCAGACAGTACAGGTATCTAAATGTGAACATTGTAAGACGTAGTGGTTCTTTTGGCACCTCCTCCACTGGAGTTCCACTCTGTTAGCACTGCTCCTTTCCCCTTCTTTGAACCATCAATCGAGTCAAGTGAAAGCAATGGGTTTTTTAGCAACGTGACCAGCAGCCTGTCTAAGAAAGTAACTTCTTAGATTATAATATATTTTGAATTCTCTTGAGTGTATTTAGCAGCCTCATTATTACCATACTCACTTCAACAGTGACCAAACTGAAGGAGCACAATATTCACCAGAAAAAGTCAAACAGATTCATCATTAATCAGACGCTGCCCTTTCCGCCGCCCTGTACGTGTTTACCTCCTGTTCTAACCCACTCCCTTGATATCCGTGCTGGCATTTTCCTTCAACCTCCAAATGCACCAGTTAATTGCTACAGTGCCTAACCGTTTGTACCCTCTTAAGCAATGCATTTCCCTGCTCATCAAATGGTCCATTCTCTAGCTGGATCGGCTGAAGTAACCTTTGCTTTGTTCCTTTCCGTGGAGAGGATCGCCAGCACGTCTTCGATCCCTTTTCAACTGATTAAACAAATTGGGGCTCTCATCAAGTGCGTGAAAGCTTTTGTGACGACCAGCGCATTTCATCTGTAATCAAAACGGATCCTTGCGCAATTTTCACACAGCCAAGCAGACGCAATTAAGAATCAGCTATAGTTCAATATTGTATGTTTGATTTGATTTGATTAAGAGCAGGCTGAAGGAGCTCAACGCTAATTGGTACCTAAAAGGCCATAATAACGCTTGTTTTGATCAAGGCGTATTTGTATAGGCAATATCAAGCGTCTAACTCACTGTATTATTGACAGTATTATTTATAACACCTTAATTAAGGTTTGTATATCAGACAATAATTCCACTAGTTTTGTTTTTTTGTAACAGACTAAACTTGTTCCACTGGTCACTGATCAAAGTCTGTTTCTCCTCTACTCCTCTGTGCCCTTACAGCGTAACCTGTCCTTCTCGTGTGTAGAGACCCATACCTTCCCGGTTTTCTTCAACGCCAGCAGTTTTCTGCAGTTACCGGGAAGAGCCAATCACAACGTGTTATCAGTGGGTTTCCAGTTTCGGACGTGGAACCCAGACGGGCTCCTGCTCTTCAGCAACCTGGACGACGGGATACTGGAGATTTCGGTTGTAGAGGGAAAAGTGATGGTACACATCAACGTGACTACAGCAACCAAAAACTACCGAGTGGATCTCTCATCAGGTAAGAACCTTTTGAGATGCACAGTCATTATCTCTGGGTTAGTTTGATGGATTTTGGGTGTTGTGTCTATTGTCAAAAAAAGGACGTGACGAGAATTACAGAGACACAGAAAAGAATACCAAGATTTTCAGAGTTCAAATAAAGCATTATTTAATTCTCTTTACAATTAGATATTAATACAAAACTCTCAGAGCTCTTATTCCCCTAACTAACCCTATGAGCTGAGCCAATTTAACTATCCCTCCAGGCCTGAAAATGTACTGAGAGGACAACCTGGAGCTCTGAAAAGTCCTTTCTCTGTCCCTGGCTCAGACTAACACATCATCACAAGTCGCATAAATAAAATATACAGAAGGGGTGTGGCTCTTCAGGATTCGTTGCCTTTTGGTCCATATATGGTAAGACCGACTGAGACCCTGGTCTGCGTCTGATCTGGTCCGGTCTCCTGTCAGGTGAGATAAGGAAGACGCTCTTTCTAAAAAGAAAATTTTCAGGGCTATCTATTGTCCATTGTTTTGATGTTTTTTACCTCAGGAAACACATCATATGAAAAGACTTTTATATAAAACTATACAATTTCATGATTAGATACAGAATTTCACAAATTTGTTAAATGTTGACACACGGATGACAGAAAATAGAAGTGTATCGACATGCGCTGCATTTCTGAAATCTGAAACATGTCTTAAATAAAGCTTGGTTGAGGTATTTAGAAATTGTAGCCTCCATGTGTCAGAAGGCTTTTCAATGGTCAAATCTCAAGAAAAAATGTTATGAATGCACTGTTTGTTTGACTATTGGCAGTAGGCCATTAGGCCCTGGGGTGCAGGATTACCCTCAAGGCTAATCGGGCTTGTGATTATTTCAGTGTGAATTCACAGACTAACATTTTTCACTTAGTTTAGAGTCACCAAATTAAAAAAAGTGAATGCACAAATAACAAATGTCAAGAAAAAAATCTGGCACCAGGTTAAAAAACAGACAGGAACGATGGTGAAAGACCGTGGCTGTGACCATCAACTTATCCATTTTCTTCCTCTTTATACGTTGCGGGTCACTGGGGCAGCAGTCTAAGCAGAGACCAAGACTTTCCTCCGCACACTTACTCAAAGTATTCCCTGGCCAACTGAGAGACACGGCCCATCCGGTCTGTCATGGGCCCACCCTAGGGCCTCCTTCCTAGCTACCTCAACTGGCTCCTCTTGATGTCGAGAAGCAGTGGCTCTACTCCAAGCTTTTCCTCAAAAGAAGCTTCCCTTCATAAGCAGACTGAGACCAATGGTGGCCAGCACAAAAACAGCAAAGAAGGACAAATGACATACCAGAAACTATGTGGCCCAGTCTCCAAACTATAGATCCTACTGTTCTAGTACCAGTAACAAAAATGAAAAACAGAAAATGTAATAATACAGTAATCGCTCTTCCACAACTCTGCAAAGATCACATGAAGAGAAAATGTGTGACACAAACATCTGCAAGATATATTCTTTCATTTGTCCTTCAGTGGGGGACATTGATTCATAAATGAAGAGAACAGTAACCAAACCAAAACATCCACTACTGAAAATATCTGAAAATGAGGGTGAAGAAGTCCTTAGCACCAGCCACAAATCGTCTAAACTTCAAATAAATAATTGAGCATCACAAGTTGTTTTATTATTGCCATATTGTGGCTTGAATCGCATCAAAGCCACAGCCAGCCCGAGTCATGCATTTTATACTTATCTCTTTGATTTCTACACTCGACTAAAATGTCTGAGAGAAATTGGTTTAAACTACATAATCCATTCAAATAAAGACAATTTTCAGCTATAATTTGTATAAAGTGTGTCTATGGCTTTGGGTTTTCCCATCTGAATAGATATGTTTAAGATTACAGGCTTCTATGCAAAACATAGTTCTCCCCATGTGTTCATAACAAGTTGACTTATAGATATATCGAATACCATAACTCTGTATATTTATTACATATACGTACAGTATATTTGTGTGTAGTCCTTCAGGATTTATGTGACGAACATATGATATTGACTGTGAGAAGCAATGAAACTGAACTTATGTGAGTCAGGACGGACAAAAATAGAGTATTGAAATCAGGCCCGTCGCAAGGGTGCGAGGCCCTGTGCAAACTCGAAACGCGAGGCCCTGCCCTGACACCTTTTTCCCAGATCTCAGGAAAGTTTTTCCTGTTACATTCTTTGACATGAATTCAGCACCGCCTTGCGCTGTGCGTGAAGAGATCAGTGCTCGCGCAGCCGTGTGTCCTCGCTCCAATGCAGCGTCGGGCGCACGCACGCACGCACACACACACTGTTACAGCGCTTGGCATTGCGATATTGGTCGCGGCCTTTTTAGCTGACATGACTCTTTCATTCTGTGGCAAAATGGCAGCAACTCAAAAGATTGAACCAAAAGGAGTCTTCTTCTTTTTCTAATAGTTAGATTACCGCAAAATGCGCCAAAATGGCTATGAGGCGGAGTCAATATTTGTTGTATTTTTTTCTCATCAAATTACGTTTTTGCCATGCCTTCACACACTGACAACATACGCTCCTTCTCCTCCTCCACTACCTACACGCTCCTCCTCCCCCTCCTCCTCCTCCTCCTCCACCCATGGATCTATAATAATAACTGGATAGGGTATTACTAGCTTAGAGCTGTCCCACCCACGGGCACAGGGGGCGCCCATGGTCCTGCAGACTAAATTCACGAGGGCTACCCAGAAAAAAGTCCCTTAGAACTCAATGCAAATTAAAACAGCTCGACCTCAGCTGACAGAGAACCTACAGCTTTCATAAAGATTGGATTTTGTGGGGATTTTAGTGTCCCTTGTCATCCTGAACTTTGTTTCTTCTTAAATCTTTCGGTTTTCTTTAAATCCACACTTTACTGCCACAAACTCTGGCTCCGCTCTTCCGCTGCTCTGATGATCGGCTCTGATTGGTCAGAGTGCGGCCGAGCCCCTCCATGCGCGTGCATGAAAGCCACACACGCACGTTTGGCGCGACGCATGATGGGAGATATCTCCCATCATGCATTGCGCTAATCCATACGCAGAACCGAGCACAAGCCATTCATTTGAATAGGGCGCCATCTTGGATCACCGGGGCTTGCCTCCACCACACACTCTGACCACAACCTACATGCTCCTCCTCCTCCTCCTCCTCCACCACACACTCTGACCACAACAAGGTGTTTTATGCCCAAAATCCACTGCACTCACAGTAGCGCGAAAGCTGGACATACCATGTTTGCTAATGCTTTTATAATTTGTTTTTGATGTGGATATTCGGACTCAACATTGACAATAACACTGCTCACACACCTGTTTCGCTGCTCCTCCTCCTTCTCCTTCTTCTCCTCCTCCTCCTCCTCTGGTCACACACCTCTCTCCTCCTACACACAAAAAAGACGCGAGTATCCATCTCTCGGTACACTGGGCTCATTCCCGTTACTTTCTTCGTAGACACTGCTAAAGTTATCTGACACCTCCGTAAAGTTTTTTTTCGGAGGACCCCCTACGTACATAGCCACCCTCGCGCCTGCCTTTTTACAAATCGCTTTTGGTGAAAATGTGACTTGTAATAATGTACTTTTGAACAAAAGAAATCACAGAGGGCCAGAGAAAGGGGTTTAGGGGTCCGAATTTGGAGCGCAGTCTGCACTTTGGAGACCCTTAAACTAGTATATTTATTTAATAAAAAAAAAAAAAAAAGGAAGGATTGTGAGGCCCTGTGTGGTGCGAGGCCCTGTGCGACGGCACAGGTCGCACAGAACTAGTAACAGAAAATAGTGTACGTTTCATTAACGTTGTGGCCGAGGACATAGAGCCACAAATAAACTTTAATTAATGGAAATAAATGCATCCATACAACTGTTCATTTCTTTGTTTTATGATTCTCCTGAATACTTCCTAAGGTTTGAAATGTATTATTCAAAGAGTGAATTCACATCGGAGAGCCTATAAAGGATGTTTGCTTGCATATTATCCTTGTGGACAAAACTAATGAAAACAAATGTTCTCTAAAATTGCTTGAAATATGTATTTGTGGCTTTTCTTTATTGTCTGATATGTGTGTAATTGGTTTTCACCTGACCAGCTGCTCCCACCCACTGTCTATTAACTCTGCTCTGCTTCCCTAAAGAGCCAAACATCGAGTGACTTTCATCCTGTGATCTATTATGAAGAGTTTTCCTTTTATTTAATAGCAAAGCAAAGCCTTTATTCCATCCGAATGATAATGAGTATCACTAGCAATATTTAAACAAAACTTGTTGGTGGCTGTGCCTTTGCCCACGGGGACCACCCTCAGGTTGATTCATGGGGGTCTGATGCATTGAGGACTGGATGGTGGTTAACCCAGTCCAGGTATACAGCACCTGGCTGCGGGTCCATGGAACGTTTGTGGAGAAGAAACCGACTCATGTGCTGTGTTTGAACAGTTTGATTCTCTGATCTGTGACGTCAAAGCAACACATTTGTAAAGTCTTCCAAGATAACTACTGTTGTGATTCAAGTCCATACAATGTACATTTTATTTAGTTGAATTGAATTGATAAGAGGTGGTTAACCGTTTGGTCGGCCACAAAGACATTCTGGCAAACTGTCCAGCTTTTGACCTTTTTGTAGTGTAATTAGTATTCCATCAAAGTGGTCATAGCTTTCACTGTCTCTTACTGCCTAAATACTTTGTTTACGTGTGAAAGTATTTAAGTGCTCTTGATTAACCAGTGCTCTGTTCTGTCATGAGCCTATTTCTCCCGTCGCCACACTCCAGTGATCAGTGATTGGCCTCGCTGTCCCTAAAGTCATCCTCAGCACACATCCTCTTAACAACATGCTTTGTTAGGGCAATGGGGGAAGGATATTCATGTATCAAAAATATTATGGTAATGGAAGAATTTGTCCTGATTCCCGTTGGAAAATAGGCTGTAAGTCCTAGCTGTAAACATGCGATCAGATCATTGACAACATTGCCAACTAAACAGCTCAAGTAAGT